CTTTATCCTACAACACCCAAGACATAGACATGGCAAAGCCTGGTTGAATTGATGCTCGATTATCTTGTCATTTGACGTCTCGCCTGATCAGATTCAGACGCGGCCATTAAGCCGGTGCCGCCGGTGCAGGAGACTCCACTCCAAGCACTCGGATCGTGACTCGAACGAACTCTCAGGTGAAAGGCCGTCCCAAAAGAAAATGAGAAGTGCAGTTCTCTTTCAAGCCACAAGCCGAAGAAACGGGGTCAATAGGTCATCTGCCCACGAACTCTCAAAGGCGTGAGAGCTTCTCGGCTTCTCAAAACTATGGGTCCATACTGCCCCATGTTTAACGCTTCCAAAAGGAAGCCCAAAGGAAAACATGTTAGTCTTGAGAAGCGCGTTACTTGCAGCAGCAAGGGGCTGCTGTTTCGAGGACAGTCGGAGTTGCTTCAAACAGATTTGCCTGGATGCAATGACTGGCTAGACGCCGCAAGGTCTCCAGCGTCATCAGCGCTTTTCCGGGCAGACGCCAGGTCCGCGCAGGCCGCGAGGCACAGACGTAGAAACGGTGGAACAGACCAGCTGATATTAGGTGAGCCACATTGCTACAATCATGCCGCTAGTAACAAGTGCCAAGCTGCACGGACCTTCTTCACCATCAAACGTTGATGTACCGGTTAATGGCCATATCCGGTTTTTGGATTCTGTTTCGCAAGTTGATCCAGGCGGTTGCTGGTTGAGGCAACAAACCTCAATGCTGCACGCTGGTAATGCAATGAGGCCTCGAGGGCAACCAATTCTGGCGCAGTTGCAACAGGTTGGTGGTTGCTTCTAAAAGGATAAAATGACAGGCTAGCCCTCGCAAGGTCTCCACATACAAGCCATGCTCGAATCTATTCCAGCAGCGTCATCACCCCCTAACACCCCCGAACTAACTGGTCATTCATACTGCAAAGGCAAAAAACAGCATCACACATAAAATGTGTCCCAGAGAGCGCTGCGCTTCTCGGTTAATCTCACAGGAAACAAGGGGCATTGTAAAATTAGGTGTGAAGGACACTCGCCAACTTTCACTTCACTGGCCGATTCTCACTTGAAAAAGACTGCAACCCTTCACGACTTCAGCTGGTGGTGGTAGTGGTGGTGGTATTATCCACCGTGCATTTCAAAGGGTTTGCTTGGGAGTATGCTTCGAGAGTGTGCTTCGGGCTTTCCCTATGCTTCACTGGGGTCGAACTTCCAGCCTACAAGTAAAACAAGACCCACCCGAACCATTCACAGGTCAACCCGCAAAATCGTCGGCTCGTTAGGTTACAAGATACTTAGGCGGTCAGCCATCCGCGAGAAGGGGGGCTTTATCCTACAACACCCAAGACATAGACATGGCAAAGCCTGGTTGAATTGATGCTCGATTATCTTGTCATTTGACGTCTCGCCTGATCAGATTCAGACGCGGCCATTAAGCCGGTGCCGCCGGTGCAGGAGACTCCACTCCAAGCACTCGGATCGTGACTCGAACGAACTCTCAGGTGAAAGGCCGTCCCAAAAGAAAATGAGAAGTGCAGTTCTCTTTCAAGCCACAAGCCGAAGAAACGGGGTCAATAGGTCATCTGCCCACGAACTCTCAAAGGCGTGAGAGCTTCTCGGCTTCTCAAAACTATGGGTCCATACTGCCCCATGTTTAACGCTTCCAAAAGGAAGCCCAAAGGAAAACATGTTAGTCTTGAGAAGCGCGTTACTTGCAGCAGCAAGGGGCTGCTGTTTCGAGGACAGTCGGAGTTGCTTCAAACAGATTTGCCTGGATGCAATGACTGGCTAGACGCCGCAAGGTCTCCAGTGTCATCAGCGCTTTTCCGGGCAGACGTCAGGTCCGCGCAGGCCGCGAGGCACAGACGTGGAAACGGTGGAACAGACCAGCTGATATTAGGTGAGCCACATTGCTACAATCATGCCGCTAGTAACAAGTGCCAAGCTGCACGGACCTTCTTCACCATCAAACGTTGATGTACCGGTTAATGGCCATATCCGGTTTTTGGATTCTGTTTCGCAAGTTGATCCAGGCGGTTGCTGGTTGAGGCAACAAACCTCAATGCTGCACGCTGGTAATGCAATGAGGCCTCGAGGGCAACCAATTCTGGCGCAGTTGCAACAGGTTGGTGGTTGCTTCTAAAAGGATAAAATGACAGGCTAGCCCTCGCAAGGTCTCCACATACAAGCCATGCTCGAATCTATTCCAGCAGCGTCATCACCCCCTAACACCCCCGAACTAACTGGTCATTCATACTGCAAAGGCAAAAAAACAGCATCACACATAAAATGTGTCCCAGAGAGCGCTGCGCTTCTCGGTTAATCTCACAGGAAACAAGGGGCATTGTAAAATTAGGTGTGAAGGACACTCGCCAACTTTCACTTCACTGGCCGATTCTCACTTGAAAAACACTGCAACCCTTCACGACTTCAGCTGGTGGTGGTAGTGGTGGTGGTATTATCCACCGTGCATTTCAAAGGGTTTGCTTGGGAGTATGCTTCGAGAGTGTGCTTCGGGCTTTCCCTATGCTTCACTGGGGTCGAACTTCCAGCCTACAAGTAAAACAAGACCCACCCGAACCATTCACAGGTCAACCCGCAAAATCGTCGGCTCGTTAGGTTACAAGATACTTAGGCGGTCAGCCATCCGCGAGAAGGGGGGCTTTATCCTACAACACCCAAGACATAGACATGGCAAAGCCTGGTTGAATTGATGCTCGATTATCTTGTCATTTGACGTCTCGCCTGATCAGATTCAGACGCGGCCATTAAGCCGGTGCCGCCGGTGCAGGAGACTCCACTCCAAGCACTCGGATCGTGACTCGAACGAACTCTCAGGTGAAAGGCCGTCCCAAAAGAAAATGAGAAGTGCAGTTCTCTTTCAAGCCACAAGCCGAAGAAACGGGGTCAATAGGTCATCTGCCCACGAACTCTCAAAGGCGTGAGAGCTTCTCGGCTTCTCAAAACTATGGGTCCATAATGCCCCATGTTTAACGCTTCCAAAAGGAAGCCCAAAGGAAAACATGTTAGTCTTGAGAAGCGCGTTCAAACGCCCTTGTAGCAGCAAGGGGCTGTTGTTTCGAGGACAGTCGTAGTTGCTTCAAACAGATTTGCCTGGATGCAATGACTGGCTAGACGCCGCAAGGTCTCCAGCGTCATCAGCGCTTTTCCGGGCAGACGTCAGGTCCGCGCAGGCCGCGAGGCACAGACGTGGAAACGGTGGAACAGACCAGCTGATATTAGGTGAGCCACATTGCTACAATCATGCCGCTAGTAATAAGTGCCAAGCTGCACGGACCTTCTTCACCATCAAACAGTGATATACTGTATCTGGCTGATGGCCATATCCGGCCTTTGGATTCTGTCTCTCAAGTTGATCCAGGCGGTTGCTGGTTGAGGCAACAAACCTCAATGCTGCATGCTGGTACTGCAATGAGGCCTCGAGGGCAACCAATTCTGGCGCAGTTGCAACAGGTTGGTGGTTGATTCTAAAAGGATGAAATGACAGGCTAGCCCTCGCAAGGTCTCCACATACAAGCCATGCTCGAATCTATTCCAGCAGCGTCCTCACCCCCTAACGACCCCGAACTAACTGGCCATTCATACTGCAAAGGCATAAAACAGCATCACACATAAAATGTGTCCGAGAGAGCGCTGCCCTTTTCGGTTGATCTCACAGGAAACAAGGGGCATTGTAAAATTAAGTGTGAAGGACACTCGCCAACTTTCACTTCACTGGCCGATTCTCACTTGAAAAAGACTGCAGCGCTTGACGACTTCAGCGCTTCCAAGGCCGCCTGCACTCCAGGCACTCCAGGCACTCCAGGCGCTCCAGGCACTCCAGGTCTGCGTGAGGAGAGGAACAGGAGCTGGCGAAAGCTGAGCCTGCACAAATTTGTGACACCGAGGGCAATTGAACTTCAAAGGGATTCCACGAAGGGTATCACGGAAAGTGGCAGCCCATCCATTCATTTTCCACAGCCAGGGAAAATGAAGGGGACACCTCAACATGCTGAACAAAACCAAGTTTCCACAATCGACCCATGCCTCCCCAAGCGTCTACCGACATTTGCAAGCCCCCGAATCTGGGAAGGAGCCGCGACGAGAGATGCCAGGTGAGCCTCCATGAGGCCCAGCAAAGGATCGCTGCCTTGGATCTTCCTTACTGATCTGCGAAACAACGATATCCCACGACCAAAATCCAAGCTCGGCATGCAAAAGCCACATGCCCCTTACAATCCCCAAAAGACTCAAAGCCTACTAATTATCAAGCACCAAGGATCTTGGCACGAAGGTGTGGGAGTATCAATGCCAAAAGATCCGCCTCGCCTAAAAGCCTGAGCAGCTCGCGATCCGACCTTCCGAGCTTGGCTTGATTTGGGTGAGGCAAGTGGCAGAAGTTGCACCCTGCGCCACTGGGACACGCACCATAAGTCAGGAACAGGCAGGGCTTGTTGCAAAGCTGCGGGTGCCCTGCGCTCCCCTCTGATGGAGCTTCCAGGAAAGTCAAGGCCGAGGCTCGCTTCTCCAAGCTCTCCACATAGGAGGTCTCGGGGCAAGGTTGTCGCGGCACATTTGCCCCCGCGCTCTTGGAGCGAGGGCCTGACTTCGGCTCCTTGACTGCGATAAAGGTTGCCTGGTATGTGCAGAACGCCATGACGACAGTGGGCTGAAGGCTCGGTGGAAGCGTGTGGTCTTGAGCGACAAATCCATCCAGCAGCGTTTTTCAGGACGGCCCAAGCAAAAGCCACCAGTGTCACCATTCCATGCTCCAATTGCCATCCGACTCTGAACACCCTAATGAAACCCTTGCGTCCCAAGCCACGTGCTCAATGTTTTGTGAGAAAACAACCAACCATGAATGAAAGCAAACCTTGCTTAAGTCAGCCAGTGGACAGAGTGGAAAGCCCGGACATGGGGAGCTGCTCGCTTCGGATATGTTTCTTTCTCAAAATGAGCTGACTGAAAAGTAACAAGTCCAAGGCCCTCACGAACACGGAGGTATCCCCGCATCGGCAAGAACCAAGGCCTCTCTGAAGGCATGGGCCCTACTTCCATTTGCCTATGTCCCCGAGAGCAAATACGCGTATTCGCCGAGAAAGAAACTCCCTGAAAGGGAACATCCACTGAGCCCTCTTCCCGTTCTCAAGCTCATTCCAGAGGGGCGTGGTATGTTGCAACTCAATTGTAGCTTTTGCTTGCACTTTCTGGGGGGCCCGCTTTCCCCCACAAGACGTGGATTCCTGGCTCCTGGGACTGGGGACCGCTGCTGTTTGCAGATCCCCTGCTAAAAGTGCAAAGCTCTAGTGGGTTAAATGGACACCCAACCACCAAACCATCTAAAAAGCCAAAATTAAAGGGGATAGTGTATAAATGAGAGGTTACCAGCGTTGGAGGCTAAGGAGCACAGCTCCCAAAATGGGCGGGGCGGTGACCGGGGGTGACATCACTCTGAACTCCGGAGTTGGAGCAATCGCGAAGTGGTGTACTTGACCGCCGACTCCTGGGCTGTCCTCAGATCCCCTGCAAACAAATATATATATATATATTATATATATATATATTATATTTATTTTTAGTGGGTCAAATTTGCAAACCGCCACTAAACCCTCAAAACCCTCAAAACCATCCGGTGGACACCAGAAGAGACAGCCCTAGCGTGGCGTTTTACTCCCTGAACAAAAATGGCTGCTCGAAAATAGGGTAACCCCAAAATGGCTTGCCCTGGTAAATGGAACCAAAGACCAAAACCTACGTAACCAAATTTTCGGCACCTTGGGTGTAGCACATTGATATCACTCTAGCAGATGACCGTTGGTATAGCTTAGAATCATCATGCATTTCACATTCTGATCCTCATTGACTTTGTGCATGCGATTGCGGCCATACAGGCTCCGGGGGCGTGAGGTATGCAAAAATAGCGCGTGGAACCTTATGGGTTCCCACGTGGCAGCGGAGTCATGGCAGGTGAAGAGGAGCCGATTGCGAGCGAAGGGTTCGCCAGTTCGAGGATGTATCTCCAGAGGAGTTTCGCACGTGATTGAAAGATCGTGGCAGCATGACACAGATATTCCCAAGGCCAAGCGGGCGGTCAAGGTCTTTAGAGCGCTGTCAGGTGCGGCTAAGACGGCAGTGGATGAGATTTCCGACAATCTTGGAGTGAGAAAGAAGCTCCAGGAACCAGCTCCATTCGTGGGCCATCAATGATCATTTGGGAGTCGTGGATATTGCAGCTCAGGGAGGTTTCATTGCGGAAGACATACTAGATAGATGTAAGAATGATCTGGGCAAATATAGGCTGAAACCACATTGCTTGGACAAGGTCGGTCGGGCTAGGGGCATTGGAGGGCAAGCTCAAATATGTGGTGTGGTGGAGATATCCTTGGGTTTGGCGGACATTTGCGGGATGGAAGAAAATTAGCTAACCTGTGACTCCTTGAAGGAAGAACGGATCCGATGTTTGTTCCTCTCAAGAAGCTTGCCCCATTGAATGATGTATGGATGTGCCTTTGACTAGGGTATCCATTGCGGCGTTATAGTTCCCCGATTTGGAGACAAACTTCAACGTAGGCATAGTCTGGAGAACCCTTCTTTGGTTGGTGTTAGAGGCAAACCAAAGGGAAACCCATCAATTGCAAGGTCCCAGTAGTGGTACTGTTTGGAACTTTTTTCCGGACTCATGCAACCCTTAAGGGCGTTCCACCCTCTCTAGCTTGTTGCGTTTTGTTCTTTTTCTTGGGGGGGGGGGTTGGCTTTCTTTCCCTGAAACGGGTGTCAAAGCAAGCCCTCCAAGTCCACATGATGTATTCAGTGTCAGATCTGGTGTAAACTCGCCTGCGAAGCACCTCAGGGTATCAAGCATGTCGACATGTCGACGTCCGAATGCTAGTGAGTCTCAAGATGATTGGTACTAAACCTTTTGAATGGTCCAGAGAGAAAACTCAAAAGGAAAATCAACCACTTTAATCAGGATCCGGAGTTTGAGGTACATCCTCCTGTTCGTCTGGTTGCTTGCGTGCACCCTTTGCCTATAGTTATATTGGACAGCTGCCTTGTCAGACAATCCATGGAAGGACAAACCTGAACGCAGCATCATAGAAAACTCACAGGCTGTTCAAATAAACTCAGTCTGTCTGGCCTCCCGAATCAACTAGGTGGTCCTTTAGAGTTGAGTCCAGTTCCCACTCTTGCATGTTTCCAGGAACTATGTGGGATGATGTGTTTTTAAAAAGAAACCCAAGGAAACCCAACTGTTTTGAGGAGTGCCCTACATGTTCAATTTCCTGGAGGCAAATGTTCAAAGGACACCCGTGCACTTTGCGAGGGTAACCTCCGGCTTCCGCTGGTACGACTGGAGGTCTCCTGCTTTGAAGCCGAGTTGGTAGCATTTGAGTGACCGCTTTTGAGGGTAGCCTTTCTGGGATCTCAAAGAAAGACCGGGCAGAAGCCATGTATTTATTTGAACGGTTCCCAACCATCTGAAGACAAACAGGCTGCAAGCCTTTGATGTCTTTGTACATCCGAACCTGTCTAGCAGAGTCGTTTTTTGCGGAGCCTCTGACAAAGTGAAGTTGCATTTCACGCAATATGGCCTGGGTTGATGGGTCATCAAAGACAAAGGCCACACATCAAGGAAGATTGCCACCAGCGCGCAAAAAATGTTTCTGCAACATGTACGTAGTGTTGTTTTACTCCTGTGAATTTCATATGAAATTATTCAACCTTCCGGCCCTGAATACATTTGGTCAATAATTCACAAACCTGATTTGGCGAAGGAATTTGCGTTTTCAGAGGCCCAGTGTCAACCACAAAGATCTCATGGCTTCGAATAGATGGGCAACCCGACGCAATCATGAGACACCTCGCCCTTCATGTGCACCACCACCTCGGCACAAAGTCAAGCACGCAAGCATAGTCTATTGAGGGTACCCTTGAAAAGCAGCCATTTTGGGGATCCACCTTTTTGAGACAAATCCATATTATGCACCAGTCAATTTTGAACGTGTCGCTCCTTTACGTTGGATGTTGCGCACATGCCTACGTGACACTTACAATATGTGCAGCTCTCACCAACAATCAAATAGACAGAACGATTTAGGTCTCATAGAGATTTGTGTAACTACTCTCCAAGTGATGTCTGAGGGCGTGTTTTTTGGCAAGTGGACAGCTTCTGCAAGCGAGCCCGACGCCTGTTTTTCCAACCCTGACAAGTTGTGCAGGGCATGTACCAGGTTTCTTCAAAAAGAACCTGCAAAGGAACACCCCCTAGTTTGACACATACCAAAATGGCTTGCTTCCTTTGACACTTCACAACGAACCAACAGGGGTCCTAGTTTTCACACAGGGCGCAAACTCGCTTGCCATTGGCCGTCGAGAGGGGGGGGGTGACAACAACGAACACCTTTGAGATTGCTGATTGAGCTTGAAGGGAACCCAACGCCAAAGGGTAGAATCCACATTGGGCAAATGGGCTAATGGTTCAAACATTGAAGCAGGATTAAACAAAGGTATTAAAAGGCCCTGCCCAAAGCCCTGCGTAAGGATCAAAGAGCTTCTTGTCGCGCTCGTTTATGGCTAGCGGCTAAGCTCCATCTACATGGCCTTTGGCAGCCACACCCAAACGGCTAAACTACCATTGGTCGCTTGGGGTAGCTCTGGCTTGCAGGGGCTCCATATGACATGATTTGATGCTAGCGCCGGATTCCCGGATGACTCTGGAGCACTTTACTCGGGGCTGGTTCCCATCTTCGCACCGAATGGTCTACTTCGGGGTTTCCTCCGGATTAAACTGAAGTTAATATGGCCATGGGTCAAATTCCAAATCGTACCCCAGTGAACATCCCAATCACCACTACAAAAGACTAAAATAGGTGGTGCACCTACCCAAAATGGTACCATTGGTTTTGACCCACAGCCATATTACCCTCGCGCTTGAGTCGCTTCCCTTTTTAAGCCCCCCGACACCGTTGCCAATCGCCGTGACCTGCGCGGTTGCAACCAAATGTGAATTGAAGGCTCCCTGCAGGACCCATTGATACACACATGTTTGCTCGAGCTTTCGTGGCAAATAAGTGCGCGAGAAATGGTAAAATCAAATTCATGCAAATGCACAGATTGCGGGGCGGAGCTTTGGCTTTGCACACTTTTTGGAATTGCGCCCGAGTTGCGGAAAATTGCGCCCAAGTAGCGGGAAATTGCGCTCGAGTTGCGGGTTCGTTTTCTCTCGGGCACTTCACCAAGCATCTAGGCAACCTCAAAAAGTGCTCGAATTGGATTTGAGCAGAAAAAAACGCTCGAATGCCAAAAACTGTCTGGAGCACTTTTTTGTGTATCAAAGGGTCCTCCAGGTCCGTGAGAGATACGGTATATGCACATGTGCATATATCATGTAGAGATGTATCACCAGCACCAGCCTCGCCATGCATGGTATCTCTCTCCATCGGCACCAGTCCTCAATTGAACCAGTTATCATCTCCCTCGGTTTCCTTCCATCTCTCCGCTCCATATATAGTGGTAGTGAGCGGGCCAGCAAGGTCTATTTTTGTCAGGGGACGCTTGGTTTCGCAGCATACGAGGCATCGCTACGCATGTGGTTGCAGATGGCTGGGCAAATGACATTGATCCCAAATTGGAGCCCGTCTGTGGATGATACAGGCGATGCAGAAACCCTGACTTTGGTGGTGCCAGGAATGCTGGGGATGCAAACAGTCAACTTTCCTTGCGGGCTGTCCAGGTGCTGGGGATGCAGGCTGCGCAGGATGCGCATAATCTGGATGCTGCGTGCCTATTCTGGCGGAGTATCTCCCAAGTCACAATATCTGACGCGTGGTGGATGGAATGGGCTCAGCCACAAACCAAGTGTCGAGCGCGTTTCTTCCAGGTCGCCATGATTGAACTTTGAGTTTCCTTCCAGCGCAGCTGGGCTTGAAGCTAGATCTTTAAAAAAATAATGTATCTAGATGCTAGATGAGAGATCCAAGGCCCCGAATATCCTTCGTTTCTGTAGTCATGAGTATGAGATCCAGTCAGCATGCCTTTCCTGTTTGTGCAAAGAGTACCAAGCCATCCCCAGCTGGTCTCGCTTGTTGACTTTTCAAACATGGTTGGTGGGGTTTCGTGGACCGGACAAAATCACAGTTGGGATGGAAGAAAGCCTATACTGGCTGATAAACCACACACCAACTGCGGGACTTGTTCATCCAGTGGGGGGAGCATGACCTGTTTTGAGAGAATTCATTGCTCTGAGTCGCCTGGTCAAATGCAATAAATGCCCACAATATATTGGTATCGATGATGATTCTCCGTAATGCATTGAGACGTATTGCATGCATCGTAGTTCTTTGCGGATTACCTTACGCTCCTGTAAAATAGAATCAGTACAACTGGGCTGCCCTCAGATCCCCCACTAAAAGTTCAACTTTTAGTGGGTTAAATGGAAACTACCACTAAACGCAAAAAAAGCTAAAAGGCTAAGGAACCGAATGGCTGGGAGCCACCAAGACAAGTATCAACTCACTTCAACAATCAGTTTTACCGAATAGCAATCTTGGACGAAGCCGCTGCCAAGGTGGCAGCCGAGAACGAAAAGAGCAATACTTTTGTAGGGGCACATCATCGAACTTGTATAAATATGTGCTTGTTGGGTCACCTTTTGCCCATACAAGGTATGGTTCTACCGTCGACCTACGTCTGTTTCTGTTTTTAATAGCCGGTGCTGGCAAATACGACTTATTATGAAGGCTCTCAACTTCGCCGGTACACTTGAACTTCAAACGTGAGCTGCACCTTGCAATATTGAGTTGGAAAACCAACGTGCCCTAAACAATTCTATATATAATCTCAGGATGCGCGAGTGGCAACAAACTCCCACACATGATTTCCCTTGCACTCGCAAAGTACGCATGTGTGGGACGGTCCCTTTATGGGGGTACACCCCACCCTTTCCATACAATAGTGTGCTTGGGACAAGGCGGAACGGACGAGCACTCAAAATCCCTGGGGCATGGGGAAGCTCGATCTGCTCTGTCACAACAACTGAGCAACCTGAACTCAGAAATCCCAAAGCAAGGGAACCCTATGGCTCTCTTCCTCGAAAAGCTCGTGCAAATTGATGCATGGAGCAGTGGCACAGCGATCCGCATAAGACTCGGAAGAGATTTATTGGAGCTGTACTAGTGCTCCCTAACAAAAGCACGCCGAGTGGGGTCAAGAAGCACGCCAGCTGTGGCTTCCGAGTTTCCCTTTCCGCGCCCCGGAGACTCCGGCGTCGCCGCGCGGGGCCAAGACCTGGGCACTGACGGTTGGGTTGCAGACCGGGTGGGTCCAAGCCAATGTTTCGGCCAAGGGGTGCCCTTTCTCTCTTGGGGCGCATAGGGTCAAAGAAAAGATGTTTTACTCTGTTAAAGGCAAAAAGAGGAGAAGAGCTCCTTTTGTGTTCTCCAACTCCCACCCCCTCGGATCGGTGAACCTGCATCTGTGGCTTCTGGCTAAAGGGCACCTGTGTATCCGTACGAAACTGGTTTGTCGCCATGGGAACCCACAATGCCAACTCGTTTGGAATGACTTCCACACGAAAGCAAGAGGCACTTTATCGGAAAACATGGTTGAACAAAAAACCACTTCAACGAGGCAGCATGTGGGCAGTGGCTTGACTTGTTTGAGCGGTGCAGTCGTTGTTGACTTCTTGGCTGGGGCTTGTCGCTTTGGGACGCGCGGCGACCTGGAGGGATGGTGCCAGTCGCAGTCGAAGCCATGGCTGGTGCCAGTCGATTTTCCAGTTCATTCCACCGTCCTGTCAGCCTTGCATGGAACCAAGGTCCCTGTTGAAGGAACAGAATCTTCCAGCGACATGTTCGGTTCCATGGCAACGGGAATGGGAGGGGAATCTAGGTTTGCAACCCGAACCTTGGTTACCCCACACGGGTAGGTCTTGGTTTCCTCCGCCAGCTTAGCCTTATGAAAAGGGTTCAAATGGACAACCCTCGGCTAAATCTAAAGAACCCTAGGATCCTAAAAGGAGGACAGCAGCCATGGTATTTCTCAAACGGGACCCCCCAACAAAACACGGTTCCGTTTTCTTTGGGTTTTCCTTGAAAAGCCCCAACCTGTAGCTTCCGCCCAGCGTTTCAATTTAGCACTTCAGCTGCGAACCCCAAATCAACCCAGTGGGTGGTACTTCCTGACTTGAATTCGTGGGATGATCACGGACCCTTCAGTAGGGATTTTAGGCATCGTCACCCTCACCAATACCCACATGGCCATGGCACACCAGTGGTATGCCCATTTTGGCAAAAGCCCATTTGACACACAGACACACAGACACACAGACACACAGACACATAGACACAGGCACACAGGCACACAGGCACACAGGCACACAGGCACACAGGCACACAGGCAACACAGGCGCACAAACACCCCAAACACAGAGCACCTTTTTGGATCTGTCCCCAAGCCCTAGCAAAAAGCATCCGATCCATGCAGTCCGCCGGCCTGCTGTGTGGTTTTACTCGCTTTCGCCAAACTCTCTTGGTGTGGGTTGGAGGCTGAAAGCATTTGGATATGTCCAAAGATTAGGGGCCTGCTTATGAGATGCGCAAACGGAGACCCAAAGTTATCCGCCCAAGCCAACTAACGCGTGGCGTGATAGACGACGCAGAGGGAAATTGTAGAAGTTATTATACATGTATCCTATACATTAGCCCATCGTATTGGCATCTAGTTTATGGTTTGATGCCTAATTATGGGAAGAACGCACCACGGGTTCAACATGTTCATGGGTTCTTGCATAGGTCCATACAATCAGCCTTTGACATTGTGCCACCTTTAGAACAAGGCGCGATGGCGTTTCAGCAGAAACCCAAATCGTTGACACCTTCCAGGGGTCTAATTCTCATTCTGAGAACACACCTGGAAGGAGCCGCAAAAAAACACTTCTCTGAGTTTGGATCTATATACCTTTCACCATTCTGTGCAGGTCCGCCAGTAGTACTTACGACCACAAAGAACCGATGCCTATCGACCTGCAAAACCGATAGGGGTCCGCCCCAAACTGATACGGGCAATATGGCCCGTTGCTCATATATGCGGGTCGGAAGATTCATCCGGTTCCCCGGTTCGCAATCACTGGCTGAATCATCTACACTTTCGGCTGAACCGCAGATTGTCTCGTGCTTCTTGCTCTCAAAACAGCAAACAAGCGTCAAACCTAACCCTGGGATAGATACCCGTTTGCAAAAGGACGAGGCATCTGTTTGTGATGCTCACGGGGGAGCAAAACTGGTTGAAAGAACTAAAGCCTAACTGCAAATGGGTAGGATGCATATAAGTTCGACGTTTTGGCAACCACCATCAAAAAACTGGGGTCATACTGTGGATGGACAAAATCCTGCGCCACTTTGAGGCAATTGGACATAGTTGCCTGTTGGTATTTGTAGGGGAATCATCATTCCAGGGTTTCTTAGGTGGTGCGGGATTTCGTCCATCCACAGTAGCTTCGTGAAAGGTTTCTACACGGGTCGCTCGTTCAATTAAGTTAAAACAACTGGTTGGCCCAAAACTTGGGATCCAATGTTGAGCAACCTTCAACATTCGCGCTCATCTACTGTAGTGCAGAGCATTGTGTCCCCAGCAAAAGTCGGTTCGAAAATGGAGCTTACTCACCAAATCCTAACGTCACTTTGTGGCATGCCTCATAGGCACTGTAGCTCGCGTTTACCATGGTCAAGGTCCTTGTGCGGGTAAGGGGTCCATTAGTAATCCTTCAAATGTCGACCAAGGATTCTTGGGTGTTCCAAAAGCCTTCCCATGAATGGTCCGAATTCCTCTTCGTTTGATGACCGGTTTCACACCAACGCTTCGACCATGGCCTGCAACCGATTCCAACCCACTCGATATGAGGTCGCACCAGTCTTCGACTAGATGCGGCCCCGGCCCAACTGTTGGAACGGCGGATTCCCCTACGGCGACATGCAAGACAGCAATTGGCAATGACACATCTGTAACACGTTCCAAGCCGGCCATGTTTGCAAGAAATCCTTAATCCCCAAAGCTAGCTTCATCATGAGGCCGGGGATCGCTTGTGTGTGCGGTACACGGTAACTATGCTCTTGAGTGTGCACTGTGATAAACTGCTTGAACAGTGTGCAAAAGGCCACCAGCGATGCATCGCAAGGCCCTGAACAGTTGGAATTGCGGTCCGGTTGGTGTGCGTTGTTTGTGAGGGTGCTGCAAGGGCTTGCATGATCATATTGCGGTTGCAGGTACTTCGAAACCAAACTATGTCCTAATCATAGGACGGTAATGGGCGTAGCTATCCAGCCCCTTATGTTACGCTCTTACTTTTTGGGGGGTGGTTTGAAAGCGACATCAATTCGTGACAGTGACTCATGGTACAGTGACGTCCGAAAGGACTGCTCGACAGTGACGAATCCGCGCTGGGCTCGAAGTCTGCAAAAGGCGATGTCCGTTCAGAACTTGGCAGGTTGCCCCTGGTTACATAGCTCCATGCTGTCGACTGTGGATGCACGAAATCCCGCACCACCTAACAAACCCCGGGATGATGATTCCCTTGTAAATACCAACAAGCCATGGTTTCAACCATGGCTTCACAGCGGTGCGACACGGAGCTTGTCCATCAACACTAAGAAAAAAACACCTCCTGTCTCTACTTAGTCATCGAAGGAAGACCCAAGACCTGCAAATCTTGAAACATCGTCGCACGCAAATGTGGATGTGAATACGCGTGTTAACCCCTAACCATGTCAGTCGGGGGACAAATGCAAGTTGCTGGCAGATAGACCCGGATGAGAAGAGCAATGACCCGAAGGTACAGAAAGAAAAACGTGCGCGCCGAAACTGGTTTTTCTTGTCGCAATTGAAACAGGCTGAGTTTCGCCAACCAGAGGTGGCACAAGCCAAGTCCGGGACCTTCGCGCAAGCTCGGCTTGTCCGGTGCTTGCCACACCCTCTGCGACTCCCGCGGATGTGTTGGAGATGACTTCATACGGAGAAACCGAAGGACCCGCCCCCACCCCCAGGAAAGGTTCTCAGAAGCCTTTTACGAACCCCTTCCAAGAAGGAGAACCTTTCTGGGGGGTAGAGGGGTCCTAATGTCAGTCTCGAATTCGAGCTAGGTTCCCGCCTCGTGGAACAAAGCTGGCGTTTGCCGTGGGAGAGACTTGCCCTGAGCAGAATATCCTTTAGAAAATGGTACTGGGCCAACTGAGGCCTCTCGAATTTTGATCAGGTTTCGGGAAACTGTGACTGTTCAAAAGGCTGAAGAGTAGCCGTGGCCGAATCAACAAACAGCACCGAATAGAGACGTCCTTCCAGGCCATCGCGTTCGGCTGGCTGCCTTTGGCAGATTCTGTCTTGGACAACTTGCCCCGCCAGGTCCGCGATTGGCGCTGGCACTTGGGGCGAGGGCGCAATCGACAGTCGACAGGGATTGTGAATTTGGGCCATTTCCCCAACACTGCCACATGGGATGCAAGGGCAAACTTGTTGGTTGGTAGTGGACCGTAAGGGGAACAATCCTTCAAGGGAGAAAAGGGCACTGAAGGCTTGGGTTTCGCTCTTGAAATCGTCCCAACTCGGTGTGTCGTTTTGCGGGCGTCAGAAGGTTTTCTAGGAACACCGACATGGACTCCGCTCATGTGACTATAGGTCAGGCAAGCTCTATCCTTCTCTTTTACCAAAAACAAGAAACTCTCCCACAATGGGTTGCAAAGGAAACCAAACATATGTTGGGTCGAAAACCACCCAAATGAGGTTGTATTTTGAGAATCCCCGAAAACAGTTTGCCTCTCTTGGTGGTTCCGGCAACGTTCTCTCTCTCAAGCGGAACCCGAACACCTCCCATTCCATGGGGCCATGATCGGCGCTGATTTGCAGGGAACGCCGTTTCGCCCATACCTCTGCACTGTCGCCTCCGTTTTAGGAGGTGAAAAAAAGAGGATGGCAGTGGGAAGCCCAGAGCGAAACCTACTTGGGTCATTTGGTTTCTGTTGCAAACAGGCCATGCGACCAAACAAGTCAAAGATCGTTGCTGTCCGATTGAAATCCTGCCTAGCCAGTTACATGCTTGTTGACCTGACAATTTTATATCTTCGCATCTGCATGCCTGTTCAACCATGCACCTATTTGTGCATCTATTTATCTAACTATCTGTCTACCTGTCTATCCCTCTGTTCATCTATGCATCTGTACATCCATCTACCAATATACCTACCTATGTCTACCTATGTATCTAACATATTTGTATAGTGTATGAATCTACCACATCA